GGGAGCGGCCTGGTGGCAGCAGCTGGGATTCACGGCGGCAGGTTAAGGGCGCCCCAGAGCAAAGGAGGCTCCTGCCAGGCAAGGTTAGGCCTCGCGCCGTCTCTGTCCACTGGGGGCCTGGCATGTGCTCGCTTTCGCGTCCTTTCCTCCCTCTCGCTGGGCGAGGTTCTTACTGCTCCCTCGCGCTTGCAGGCGAGCCAGGCACCAAAGGAGAAAGGGGAGAGAAAGGCACCGGCCTCGTGGGAGAAGTCGGCCCGCCAGGGGCACCCGGTAAGACTCCTTCGCCCTGCACACGACACAATGGGCATGTTTAGGGTCGGCCCTTCCCGGCACAGGGTGGCGACAGACCCCCGGGGCTCCAGAGGCAAGTCGCCTCCTGGTGAGACAGAGGGACGGGTTCCGTCCAAACCCTCTGAACTGTGGTGGGCCAGCTTGCAGTTTCAGGCCAGAAGGGCGCCCCAGAGCCCCATGTCTGACCTGGATCCCGCAGGCCACCAGTGAACCATGAACCCAACAAGGAAAATCGGGCCCATGCGTCCCAGCCAGCGTTCCCTGTAAGCTGAGTGCTTGGGCGGCTGCCCAGGAGAGATTCAAGCACCGCCCCGCTGACTGGCAGAGCACCCACAGCTTGTGTTTCTCTTGGTGGTGCACATCTGCACATGCCTTGGTGCACATCGCAAAATTTATTCTGCACCGGGCTGGAAAAAAAAAAGAGGGGACATTTGTCACAGCTCACAGCTCTTACGTACCACAGGCAGGGAACGGGAAGGACCAAGTGCCCCATGCCTGAGGCCCGACAATGGCAGGGAAATGGTTTGTGAGATAGGCCCCGTTAATCCTGGCCAGTGACCCCCACTGCAGAGGAAAAACCATCCCTCACCTCCCAGGTCACTGCTAGTCTGACCTGGGGAAAAGTCCATCCTGACCCCACACGGAGCCCTGAGCACGGAGCAAGAACCAGTCGCCAAGCCTCTGGGGTGGGCGTTGCAAAATCAGCCTTCTCAGCGCCTCTCTTCCCTTCCCCTCGTTTCTCCTCCAGGTCCCCAAGGGCCACCAGGATACGGCAAGCTGGGTCCGCCCGGGCCTATGGGACAGCAAGGCAACCCAGGCGTTCCCGGACCCCCAGGCATGACAGGGCCGCCGGGAAAGACCGGCCATTGCAACCCTTCCGATTGCTTCGGCATGATGCCCCTGGAGGAACCCATGTACCAGCCCAAATCCATGAAAGGACCCTTAGGCTGAGCGGACCTGGAGGGCATTTTCACCAAGGACTCCATTGGGAATGACCAAAGCTCGGGCCTCGCGACTGGTCGTGAATGATTTTGTTTTTTATTGCTGTTAATATTTGTTTCCTCTCGATTTCCAGTGGGGTTGACGTGTCAGCGTGTGTGTGCGTGTGCGTGTCTCTGCTTGTGTGTGTAAAGGGCATTGGGCACCGCCTTCTGTGACCAGCCAAAATACCTTTCCGGACCGGGTCTTCGTGTAGCATCGCCCTGACCGGCTCTGGAGCCCCATGTGTCTCCTCTGGCTTATCTTTTCAGTTCATTCGGACCGTTCTTACCGGTCGTGCCGCTGCGCAGGCTCAGCTGTTACGTGGGGGGAACTTCAGGCACTACTCCGCCCCGGGTGTGAAATGACATATCCCCATTTCCCATGCCTGCGTCAATTCTTCCCCTGCCCACCCGGGCCTCTCCTTTTCCTCTGCTGCTCCTTTGGTGTGTAACGTGCCAGGGTCAGGTGCACTGTCAGCGCCTTTCTTACCGGTCGTGCCGCTGCGCAGGCTCAGCTGTTACGTGGGGGGAACTTCAGGCACTACTCCGCCCCGGGTGTGAAATGACATATCCCCATTTCCCATGCCTGCGTCAATTCTTCCCCTGCCCACCCGGGCCTCTCCTTTTCCTCTGCTGCTCCTTTGGTGTGTAACGTGCCAGGGTCAGGTGCACTGTCAGCGCCTCCTTGTCCAGGTACCGCTGTCTCTCCGGCAGTGGAGAGAGTTCTTGCATAAAGTCTTGGCCCTCAGCATAGTGTCATTACGGGGAAAAATAAGACCAAGCAAGTTGGCTCAACAAGACACATTTTCAGGAGGCCTCTGCATCTTCTCATAGCCATGAAGCAGAACACTCGGCGGTCTTGCTGGCCTTTAACTCAAAGCCTTTACGTTCCGGGGAAAAACAAGTGTCTAACCTAAAAACCACGACTGGATTGCTAAGCGCTCGACCCGTTTCCAGCTATTAAAATCCACCGTCGGAGTGGTCCGTCACCACTTCGCAGCTCTGTGCGAGGAAGGGATGTTTTCCTCCCTGAAGCAGGGTGAATCTGGTGAGCAAACAGAGATAATAAAAACATTCCTGCCCAAGCTTTGTTTGCATTTATTTTAGCTCTTTTGCCAGTCATCCTTAGGACTGGAATTCTACCAAATTGTCTGCCCCTTACCAGGGGTCCACGAGAATTTTTGATGGGGACCCACTCCAAGATATTGGTAAGTGGTCATGGGCCGCACTTTTCCACGGAGGGGATGCGGGGGTGGGACAGATGCTGGGTGCAGAAGGGAGCTCAGGGTAGGGGACTAGGGTCCAGGAGAGGCTGTGGGGTCTGGGAGTTTGGATGACGGAGGGGGTTGTGATCTGGGGCACAGGATCCAGGAAGGGATATGGGTGCAGGAGAGGATTCTAGCCTGGGGAAGGGGTGCATGGTCTGGGCAGGAGTTGGTGGGAGGAGGCGGTAGAGTGCCAGAGGCACATTCTAGCCGGAAGGCGCTTTCCTAAGCAGCCCCCGGCCAGCAGCCGGGCTGTGTACATGGCTCTCCCTGCTAAGGGGAGGCGGGAGGGAGAGGCTTTCCCCACTGCCCCCATCCCCTGAAAAATCTATCAGCTCCTGTTGGCCAGAAACCAGCCAATGAGAGCTGAACTCTCCCTGCCCCCTGCAAAATCTCTCAGCTGTCATGGGCCAGCTTCCAGCCAGCAGAGGAAAGATTTTGCTGGGGGGGAGGGGAGCACGCTGAAGCCTCTCCCTCTCTCCCTGCACCTCAAGGAGCCATAGGAAGCAGCTAGCCGCTTTGAGCAGCCCTGCTCCCTGCTGCCAGGGCAGGCGTGGGCCGGATCAAACGGCTCAGTGGGCCGGATTCGGCCCGTGGGCCATACCTCATCTGCCGCTGGACCAGCACCTTCGCATATCCCTGCGCACACTCTCCACCAGGGCTGTAGCCCCATGTACTGCTTTCCTCCATGGCACCCCCGTAATCAGCTGTTGTAAGGCAGCTACTCGGGCACCTGCCCACGCCTGCGCCAAACACTATGCAGCGGAGACTCCATCAGCCTCCGACACACCATTGGGCCAAACAGTGTTATCCACAGCTTACTCACCAACTCCGCCGCCCCTTCCTCCGCACTGGGCCGCTGCTCCATAGTCCCCTAAGCCGGAGCACCCCCAGGGAAGAAGAAGGGAAGATTACTTACCTGGGCAGCAACGGAGGTGCTTCGAGATGGTTTCCCCGTGGGTGTTCCACGACCGTCCCTCCTCCCCTCTGTGTAGAGAAGGAACCGGGAGGATGGTTGGCTGTGCCTGCAGGATAGCAGCCCCGAGCGGCGCATGCCGGCTGTCCTGTGTATGCAGCCTACCTAGGGCGTGGCTACCATAAATCTCGACTAGAGGTGCCGGGGTGCACAGACACCTCAGGGGGTGCACCCACGGGGACAACCATCTCAAAGAGCCACAGTTCCCTTCCTTTCACGCCCACAGACGGATTGCTTAACTTGCCGGGCTTGGTGGTGTTTTACATCTTTGGACCACGCAAACCCATCTAGAAAGCTAACCAGTCCTGCCTCCTCCGGTAAACCTATTGATTTAGCATTGGCAACTGGATCTGGCCTGCATTTATTATGGCGCTGTAGAGATTTGCCACTGCTCTTCTAGGGCCATAAACCTTCACAGAACGATACAATTGTCAGTAGGGATGTAAAGTGCTGACTATGCAAACCCATCACAGGCACTATCCTCTCCTGGAAAGAAAGGGTGGGATAAGACAGAGGGTGGAGAGCCCTGGGTCAGATGGGTGTGAGAGAGGCATACGGGAGCGTGTGTTTGTGTTGTCTCTTCCGGTGCAAATCTTTAAAAGAAGATCAATAAAAAGACTCCAGCCACTCAGGTCAACTTGCTGTTAATTGGAAGGTTTGTACTGCAGAGTTTTGATTGATGGCCATTAAACTCACTTGAAGACAAGTAGTTTTTCCAGGTGTCCCATATTGAGCATAGGGAAATAAGAGCGCTCTAGAGTTGGTTACAGTCGGTCCTTGCTGTTGTTAATATTGATCCCTGAGAGCAGCCCAAACTGCGGCTCAGCTGCATCCATCCATTGAGCTGCTAATTCAGAATATGAATTGGGTAGCCTGCACGTACACAGAGTGGGTCTTGGGAGCTCCGTCAGCCAGACTGCAGCCCTCAGTGGAAAGTCTGCACATTTACTGCTCCAGAAGGTGGGGTGAAGAAAACCCACGGCTGTTAAGTATTGATGTGCTTGAGTAAATGAGCAGCCCGGAGCCCAGCAGAATTCCCATTATTCTCGTTAGCCGTAAGAGGAGTAATTTCCTGAGGCGCAGTATTTAAAATTGAACCCAGCATGGCTCCCGCAGACGCTGCCTTCCGAATGTCGGCTGCTCACTCCCCCCATGACAGCGAGACGCTGTCTCCGTGCCATTAACGCGCTTGACGAACAGGGTGTGAATTGGCACCGCACGCCACTTCAAACAGGGGAGGGCAGAGTTGCCAATTAACTCTCCTTGTACTTCCCGTGGTTGCCACTGCAGCCTGCCCTCGGCAGCACCTGCTTACGCGTCTGCATTTGGGCACGTTTCCATAGGCACTCACCATTTCTTAGCAACCAGTGGAAGCAAAGGCGCCCTTTGGCATGGCTGGACTAGCAGGGCGTCGGGTGGAAGCTCACGCTTTTCTCTAGCTCTCTCCGAGCAGTGAATGCTGCCGGGAGTTAGGACTCCATCAGAGAGCAGGGAGTGAGGGCCAGCGAGTGACTTCATCAAAGCCGAATGCGTTGCAGTTTGCAGAGAGCTGGCAGGCTGCTACAACCAGCACCGAGACTGCACCACAGTACCAAGGCCCAAACACTCCCTCTTGCAGGGGGCAGGGAGGTCAGCAGCTTCAAGGTCAAGCCTAAGGAGCGCAGATGCTAGAAATGGATCTGACCCCTCAGATCCTCCAGTCTCTGCGTGGGGCCAATGGAGGGTTTGTTCCCGGCAGTACACTGGCTCTCCGGCCTTAGTCTTCTCCCCAGCTTGCGACTGGAATGATTCACTAAGGAGCTCTGCCCAGCTGCAGAACGACCAAGAGAAGTTTGGATCAGAGGCGGGAAGACGGGCACAGGGGCGGGGTTTAGGGCTGAAGGGGTGAATTTGGGTCAGAAGCAGGGGGAGGGAAGAGACGGGGCGGAGTTGGGGGTGAAGGGGACAGCGCTTGGGGGAGGGAAGAGGAGAGAGGCTGCTGCCGGAGGGAGCGAGGGTGTAAGAGCAGCCAGGGCCGGGTGAGCAGGGGAGGAGGGAACGCAGCGAGAGGAGAAGGCCTCCCGGCGAGAGCTATCCTTGCCCCCCGCCCCTCCATCCCCGCACAAGCCCCTTGCTCAGAAAGAAGGAAGGGTTATCGTTATGGGGGCAAGGCCTGGGCCAGGCAGGACAGGGTGTGGGTCCAGACAGGAGTGGGGAAGAGGGGCCAGGCCATGGGGCCAGAGGCAGGGCAGCGGGGTGGGTTTGAGGCCAGGGCGGGGGCGTAGGGGCCTGGGATGGGATCTGGGTTCAGAGGCAGGGGGA